GCATCACGGGGGCGGCCAGCGTGGGCCTGCTGAGCTCGGCCACCGGAATCACCGGCAGCACTCTCACCATCAACACGGCCAACGCAGGGAACTTCACCACGGTGGGCGACGTGTCCACGGGCACGCTGACGGCCTCCGGCGCAGCGACGGCGGCAAGCTTCGCAGGGCACTCACGGGCGCCACGCTGACCATCACCGGGGCGCCTCCGTGGGACCGCTGGACTGCGAGAGCCTGGACTGCACCTTCACGGCCACGAGCGGCGGAGTGTCGACGGGCAGCGTGGTGTGCGGCGACGTGACGAGCTCGGGCACGGTCTCCGCGCCGCAGCTCTTCGCGTCCAACACGCTCACCGTGACCAACACCTCCGACTTCTCGGACGATCTCTTCTTGACGAAGAACTGGGCGGGCTGGAGCGAGCTGCAGATTTCCAACAACAGCGCGGCCTCCGACAGCGGCCCGGAGCTGCGGCTGCTGGGCAACCAGAGCGTGAGGGTCTTCCTGGAGCGAGACGGCCGGGCGCACCAGTGCGAGCTGATCATGATCAACGACGAGCGCTGGCGCAGACGAAGGGCCTCTCGACGCAGCTGTCCTTGACCACGAACCAGAGAGGAACCCCGGCTGCCTGGTGATTGCAGGCAACACGGGCAACGTGGTCTGCAACACAAGCTTCACGGACTTGTCCGACAGCCGGGTGAAGACGGAGATTGCCAAGGGCGACGTGGCAGAGCTGCTGCAGCTGTTCGACTCCGTGGAGGCCAAGCAGTACAGGCGCCCGGACATGAACGGGGACCTGAGGCTGGGCTTCGCCTTGGACGACTTCGCAGGAACGAAGTGGAAGAATTTGACGGGGACCGCGACTGCACGGAGATGGTCACCCTCAACTACTCGCAATTCACCAGCGTGCTGCGGGGGGTGTGCAAGGGCTTCCAGGCCCGGCTGGACGAGGTGGAAGCCTGGCAGGCCCAGCGGGGGCCGAAGAACAAGTAGTGTCCAGCTGTGTGAGCAGGCCTCCTCGTTCTAGAGGAAACTTGCTCAAGCTCCTTTTTGGGGCAACAAGTAGGAAAAAAAACTGTGCGCAGGCCGTCCAGGGAACCTTGCTCAAGCTCCTTTTTGGGGCAACAAAGTTGTTTTTTAAAATGGAGGCGCTGAGGGACCTGGCCGACGACTTCAACGTGAGGGACCCGCGGAAGCTGTACCGACTCGCACGGCAGCGCGACCTCGACGTGATGCAGGTTATGGCCTTCAAGGTGCTGAAGGCCGACGTGGGCCGGCAGGAGCAGGCGCCCCGGCCGCGCGCGCTGGGCAAGTCGGCCGCCAAGGGGCCGAACGACCGGCTGCAGGCCGACCTCATCGACTTGGGGGAAGACGAGGCACGGCCTGGTGGTCGCCCGGGAGGCTGCCGTGGAACCTCTGCAGAACAAGAACGCCGAGACGGGCCGGGCCACCAAGCGCGCCGCGCGGGAGCTGACGGGCTGGGCAACGAGTTTGCCACGCTGGACCGGGAGCTGCCCAAAGCCGTGCGCCGGACGAAGCGGCCACGCCACGGCCGTGGTGGACCGGGGCATCCAGACGTTGGCGCGCAAGGGCGGGCAGTGGAGCGACCGCTTCGAGCGGGCGGCCGGGGCCTACAACGCCCGGCCGCACGAGACGGCGCACGGCGCGCCCGAGGATGTGGAGAAGCAGCCGGCCACCGAGTTCCGGCTGCTGCAGGACAACGCCGACAAGTTCCAGCGCAACAAGGACCTCACGAACCGGCGCATCAAGGCGGTGGAGGACTTCGGGCGCCTTCCGAGCGCCGACGAACGCGGCGAGGAGCTTCAACCCTCAGCACGGCGACGTGCAGCAGCTGCGGGCATGGAGGAGACCCCTCGGGGAGGCGGGAGCGCTCGAGCGCGACCTCGAACTTCGTCCTGATGGCCGCCATCATGATTCCAGCGCGGGCCGGAGGAGGCGCGGGCCTCACGATCCACGGCGCCAGCTTGAGGTAGTAGAGCGTGAACCTCATCCTCGTCGTTTACGGCCGGGCGCGTCAGCAGGATCTGGAAGCTGACCTTGGCGAGGAAGGGCAGCCGAATGGTCAGCAGGTCTTGGAGCTCCACCAGCAGCCGCATGGCATCAATGGTGAAGACCTGCTGCCCAGGAAGAGGGCGCAGCCGCAGCTTGCGGGTCCAAGCGGCCCCGTGCGGGCGCAGTTCAGTCACAGCGACCTTGACGCTAGGCGCGCGCGGCTCCTCCAGAGGCACCGCCCACACACAGCTGAGCCCAGGCGGCCCCAGATGCGTTCTGACAGCTCGGAGATCATGGCGCGAATTGGTTTGAGCTGAATAAATTGCTTTCTATAGAAAAATAATAAATATTCGGTCGGTCGAGTCGGACGAGTGCGTCTTTTTTCTGTTCGGGGATTCTGTTCTGTCCGGGATTCAACGGCGTCACAGCGAGTCGGCGGTGCTGCCCTGCAGGTTCAGCGCCGTGAGGAGCTCTCTGGAGGCCACATCCAGCTCCTTGCGCGCCTTCTCGACCCGCTCCAAGGCAGCGAGGGTTGCGCTCTTGGCCGCCAACGAGACCGGCAGCCGCTCAGCGATTTTCTTGCTGACGAGCTGCTCCTCCACCTCGTAGAGCTCCCTCTCGATCTGGGCCAGCGATGCCTGCCGGCGACTCCATCGGCTATCAGCCGCTCCAGCACGGGCGCTCCCCGAGTGAGCTCATCATGCAGGCGGCTCACCTCGCTTTCAGGATGTGGGTGGCCATTCTGATTTTTTTTTACTGAGCAAAAATCGGCTGCGGCAGCGGAAGAAACTACAGCGGACACTCGCGAGACGGTGGCTCCACACGCAGATCCGTGACCTCAAGACTCAAGCCGCACATGCCGCTCATCAACCACAAGCCGCGCGCTCTCAGCCGAACGCGCGCGGCGCAGTGGGCTAGCTCTGCAGGACGGTCCGCAAACGTGCCGCCAGCGTTCCAGAAGCGCGCGTGGGCAGGCAGCTTGATGGAGAACGATGCAGACTCACTCAAGGCTGCGTCTGTATGTTTTTTGTCTCCTCTCAAGTGCTGCTTGTTTTCCGTGTTGGCTTGCTTGGTATAATACTCATGCAGTGGTGGAGTTGGGGAACTGAATCGCCAGTGCAGCCGATTGCAAGCTCAGACACGGAAGCAATGGGACAAACTATATGCATTGTCGCCCCCCTTTTTGCAGACTTGGAACAGGCAGGTGCGACTTCATATCAGTGCACGAGAATATGGATGCTCGGTTTTTGCGACGATCATCTTTGATGCTTAGGGTGCGCACAGATGGCTTCGATTACAGACCAGACACTGAATGTACAAGCGCAATTTTGGTTTGACATGAGAGAAAGGATGGCCGTGTGTGCAAACAGTATGTTGGTGGATGGGGGCACTCTGCCATTTGCTTCTGCTCCAAACAATCCTGCATGTTGTACGGATGGGCGCATCGATAGCACATTGACGCGGTCTTAGGAATATTTGGCTTGAGGTTTTCTGCACCAATGTCTTGCTGGTGCTGTGGGCTGATGCCTAGTGTCTCAGATTTGGTCGTACATATACGCTTGGAGTCTTTCTTGGCTTTGTGAGTTACGGACCTTTCGCTTGGTCTTTCTTTTTGTTCGCGTGTGGGAACACATGGCTAAGCCATGTTTTGCACCTGGCCCCTTCGTTATACCTGCATGTGCCTTGCCTGTAATTAGGGACTTTTTTGTGCTCGCCCTCTTTTATTGTTCATGTGTACGGAGTCTCCTCAGTCGACCGGCGATGTTGCGAAAGGCAACGTGGGAAAAAACAACATGTCCATGCACAAACCACAAACAATACATGCACATGTTTGCACAACTTGGGGCGTGGGGCTGTTAAGACTAACACAGAAGCCAGCCAGAAGCCAGCCAGACTGCGTTTGGAGAAACCCCTCTACAGAGAGAGGCCACGCGGGTAGAGACCAGCAAACTGGAGCTCGTTCCTGGTTTGACAAGTGTAAGAAACCCTAGCTGCGTTATAATAAGAGAGAGATCCTGCTACGTTGCCGTCGGGCGCTGCGGCTGCGAGCCGCCTAAAGCCATTGCGCAACCCATCAAAATATGTTTAAGAGCAGCGCCCGCAGCATGTGGGTTCCGCGAGCCTTCCGGAAACGCAAGAAACGGACCGAGAAGGGCTGGGCAAGGGGCATATTACCTGAGCTTGTTTTTTCCTCTCCGTTCCCAACCCCCTTCCCTCTCGACCCCCAGACTCTGCCCACGTGAAACTCGTTGTCCGGAACTTGTCAAAAGTTCCCAGCGATTTGACGAGAGGTAAAAACAAATGCAACCAACAAGTCCCGGTGCATCATATATAGATTCTTGGGGATGTGCGTCGCGTGTCTGAAATCACAGCGTTTTCGAAAACACTGAAGCACAACTTAACGTCAGACCATCTAGCATGAGCTCCATCGATGCAGCCATTGGAGAATCCTTTGATGGGGTGCTGATTTTGGAATGGTGCCATGTTCTTGCATAGGCTTCGCATGGTAGCCAGCAGTTGATTGGCGTACAACAGTGTGAGATGAGATTTCTGCCGTTTTTTGCCTTTTGGCTTTGAGATAGACTCTTGGGCCGAGGCTGACGCTGCCTCAGAAGCCGTGAGACGGAATCTTTTGAAACTGATTTTTGCATTCGGATGCTCCAGCAAAGTTCGTCTCCTGAGGAACCATGCTTTCCTTTTTTCAACTCTCATCAACAGTTGCAAACACGAGTGCTTTGGGTTGTTTCAGGGCTTGTCCAGAAAGGGTGAATGGCTGGTTTACGGTAAGTTTTGTGTCTTTGAAGAGTTTGCATTAGGTTAATTGTGCATTAGTTTAGGATCGGTTTGAGGAAAGCTGGGTTTTGAGAGCTTGTGTAGAGATGTTGTAGTTGTGCTGGTGGGCTGGGGTTTTTAAAGACGGTCTAGGATGCGGAAACCTGGTTCGTTTTCACCTCACGCGTCACCCGTCGAAACGCCCAGGCTCCATCCATGCCATGGATGCGAAGGGAGGCGCGCAAGACGAGTGACCGTGCTCGGGCTGTTCAAGACATGCTAGAGGAAGACATTTCGGGAAGCCGACACTACATTTACTGATTACACGAACGGAACACTTCCAAGATGTCCTTATCAGAAATGCCATGGCAAGTATGCCAAGTATGGCTACATGTTTTTCAACTTTGGTGCGTTGGCCTTCACAGTTGTCCACAAACAGTCTGAGACGTGCTTTGGTGCCCACATTGAGTGACGTTGGTAGTAGTGTAGGCAGGTAGTAGAAGAACCAGAGGAGTCTCTATTTTTCCTCGCACACTCGAGCCGCTTAGACAATGAATCCAGCAAGTATAGCGCCGTACCAACTTCACTATTGCGTGTGAGCAAGGATGGTAATCACCCCCCTCGCATCGGGTCCACCAAACTCACAGGAAAGGGCTTGTCACCAATGCCACTGGGCTCACCACCGGTTGATTGATGTTTTGTCAGCTGTACTGTCAGAGTGTCATGCCTTGTTTCAATCCTTCCTCAAGTTGGTGATTGCTCAATCCTTCATGGACAGGAAGCTGGACATGCTTTGCATTCGCCCCTAAGCTGCCAGACGGCGCAGTGCAAAGGGCCGCTGGCCGCAGAATTGTGGGGCCGCAGTCCCAGGGGGACAGGCATCCACCTCCCAGGCCTGTAAAGGGAGGGTTCTGGGGTTCTCACAGATCGCAGTTTGGTATTCCCACATGGTTCATGTTCGTCCAAACACATTCCCGTCCCTTCAGTTTCCCGATAACGTCGACCTGAGGCCCTGCTTAGCCGGGCTGCTGCTGGCCGCCAGGCAGCGTTTTGTATTTGGCCATACACCCGGCGTTAGCCTAACACCAGCATTGTCTGTCACGTAATCAGTGATTCTGAAAAGTCGTTCAATGCTTCCCAACATGTTTTTTTTTTTTTTTTTTTCACGATGCAGCCTGAGTTGCTGTAGTGCCAACACAGAGGTGCCTCATTCGTTCAACCAGTCAGTTCGCCAAATTCTCGCCTGGAGCAATGACTGGGCAGGCCGAGCCTTGGCTTTGCAGGGCCGAATGAGCGGCGCCCAGTGGGGCTGGGGTGGGTTGGGCGACTTTCTCTCAGCTGGTTGGAAGCCCTTCAGAAGGAACACAGTTGGACTGCTGCATCCAGCCTCAATTTTGTCACACTCCCACTCATCCACTTCTTTCAGCCGGTGCTGGATGAACATCTTGCAAGCCTCTTGTTTGGGTTTTGTTGACTCTGGCTTGGAACGAGCATGCTTCTTGGGAGAGATGTTTTTGAAAAGACGATTGCCTGTTGCATACGTTGCTGGACTCTGTGGGCGGTCAGTTTCGGACAAGTCGCCGTTGAAACCTGCGGCCATAGGATGCTGGGGATGCTGGAGATGTAGAGGGTGGCTCCAGACAAAGACAAACCAACGCTTTCTCCTAGTACTAATGCTTGAGCGGGAAAAAAGGCACCTGAGAGACAGAGGTGCAACGGAAGGTGCTGCGGCATGTCATCAGCTAGCTGAACCGCACGGAACTCCAGATGCTCCAGGCCAATGCTCGAGCTCCCAAAGCGCGCTTCACCGGCGCCGGCGGCGGCATTGGCCGCGCCGACTTTGGCCGGGCCCGGAGCCCGGCCTGGCTGCTTGGAGCTGTAATTTTTTGAAAAGGATACTGAAGGGAGCTTGTTTTGGTAGCCAGTTTGGAACGCCTTCGATTGAATCCCAAATATTCCTATCAGCAAGGGTTGGCCCTCCGGCTTCAAGCGAGGCAAAAACGCTTTCAAGAGGCAGTTGGAGCCAACTCTTTACAGATCTTCATTATCCATTTTGCAGTTGCAGTCATAGCCAAGCTAGAAGTTGTGGAGGTCCTGTGTCAAGTCTCGGCATGGTCCTTGGAAGTCATGTTGCTTGACGGAGTGATGTGAAGAAACATATTGGTACGCCACTATGCATGATTCGGGTTAGAACAACCTGTGAGAGAGGGACGTGCCATGGTGAAAAAGTCAGATTTGCATGTGCTTGTGCCAGTCCTTGCGTGATGCTGACAAGTGGCCTTCCTTGTTCTTCATGCTTGAACAGAAGGATCAACGCCTTGCTGAGGGCACATGCAAGTGATTTCTTTGCTCAGCTCGCTGAGGGCAGGCCACGCACTGCTCGCCGGGGGGCCAACAGTTGCGCACTAGCTGACGGGCAGGATGACATGATGAGCTGCTTGCAACTTCACGCGGCGAAATACTGACAATTGTTCCGAACTTGAGACCGATGAGAGAATGAATGCAACCTCCTTGAAAGCCCTGTCACGTTGCCCCCAGTATGTCAGGGTGGTCCATCCTGTAGTCATGAGTCAGGCGGGAAATCAAGGCTGAATGACTGGACCTTGCAATGTTGAGATTCTTGCTTCATGCGCACGTCGCATAGTAGCGACCATACATTTCGCGTTCACCATGCCCAGTCCACACTGGCCACCAACATTTACTGGCTGTTTCTGGGCCTAAGTGTGCATTGTAGTGAACGCTGCGGGCCCATGCGAAGACCTGCGGGTCTTTGTCAACTTGCTGAAGCTGCCTGTCTCACACTTGACATTTTGAGCAGCAACATGTAGCATTTGTTGGGAGCCACACCTTCTGGGTTTTGTGAAAAGCCACCGAATTTTGGAGACAAGTCCAAATAGATTGCTCAGCTGCATAAAGCGTGTCGTTGGACCGTGGGATCTTCAGGCAGCGCTGTCCCTGTGGCCGTGGCCATAGTGCGAGAGGCAGGACTTTGCCCCACGGTGCAGTCACAAACCAGCGCAGACCGTGCTCTTGAGGGGAGGCCGTTTAGAAATCCTGCTGGCCACGAAAAGTGGTGGACGTGCCTCTACCCAAGCGTTCTGCGTAAGTGACGGGAGAGGTCTGAAAGAGCTCGAGAAGGCAATTCTGGCTTCAAGACTAAGCCAAGGGGACACAGAATGAATGGAAGATGATGTCTCGTCGAATGAAACCTGCTGGGTCCCTGACACCCCGTCCTCGCCATAATAAGGTGAGTTCATGAAGGTGCCGATTGTTGGATTCCTTGGCGGACAACTGTAATGTCTGCCTGGGATGAAGTAAGCTCAGGCGATATCCCCAACTGCACGCGGCGCTCTTTTTCGACCCTCGCCGAACCCTGCGAAAACGTACCTCAGAGAGGGCTGCTGCTGCTGCTGCTGCTGTTGTTCTTGTTCTTCTTGTTCTTCTTGTTCTTCTTGTTCTTCTTGTTCTTGTTGTTCTTGTTGCTCTGTTGTTGCGCAGCATGTGGGGAATGCTGGACAACGTTATAGTTGTGTTAGCAAAACAACAACAACCAATCAAAGAAGAATACCAAACAACCAGATAAAGGGAAACACAACAAACAAACATAACAATCCTACCCCCACTATGGCAGGACTGTTTTTCATTTGTTTTTGAAATGTGTTTTTGTTCTTTGGTTTGTTGGTCCAATGGCATGCTGTACAACATTCGGAAACCAAGCTGAGAGCCGCGGACATGTTGCGCAACATTTGCGATTTTTTTGCAACAGCTTTCATATTTTTGGGGTGGCTTGAAATCAAGATTCCCACGAAACTTTTTTGCGCAATCTTGCAAGTTTTTCCAGCCCTTCATGTTTTATCTAGTAGGTTCCCAACTTAAGCCTCATTTGTGAGGGGGATATACTGTTGACGGACGAAATCCTGCACCGCTTTTGTCATGGGGAAAATAACCCTCGCGCTCCCCATTCATTCTAATGTTAAGGGCCCTTGTTTGCAAACATGTTGGAATGACCGAAATCCTGCACCACCTTTTGCGAATGCCACCAACATTGAAAAGGGGGAGCGGGGTGCGCAGCCTGTTCAGTGGCAGAATGCAGTTGGCAGAAGCGGTGCAGGATTTTGTCCGTCAACCGACTGAACTGCTGTTTTTAAACAACCCTCGCGCGCAAGGCGTTTGCGCTAAGCGCGGCAGCAAGCGCGTGCAAGGCGATTGCGCTATTCGCGGCAGCAAGCGCCGCATTGAACGCTACAATGCGCACTGCATTGAACACTACATTGAACACTACATTGAACACTCATTGAACACTACATTGAACAGTACATTAAACACTGCCAAAAGCGCGCAAATACCAGCACTTTCAGCCTTGCTCCTTCTTTGAGGTAAGAGCAACCCAAAAAGTTTCAGTTTCTTTCCGAATTTAGCCGATTTGTAGAAAGTGCTGGTTTTTACGCGATTTTGGTTGTGTTCAATGTAGTGTTCAATGTAGTGTTCAATGAGTGTTCAATGTAGTGTTCAATGTCGTGTTCACCAAATCGCTGAATGCAGTGTTCTCCCTCTATGCGCTGGAGCCCATGTTTACTTGGCAGGTTGTCCGACTTTCCTGAGTCGTGCTTGAGTTGTTGGCTGGTTAGCCGCGCATGGGACAAAACGATTTGCTGACAGAGCTAACGTGACAAATCCTTACGACTGAACTGCTGTTTTTACACAACCCTCGCGTGCAAGGCGTTTGCGCTAAGCGCGGCAGCAAGCGCCGCATTGAACGCTACAATGCGCACCACATTGAACACTACATTGAACACCCATTGAACACTACATTGAACGCTACGTTGAACAGTACATTGAACACTGCCAAAAGCGCGCAAATACCAGCACTTTCAGCTTTGCTCCTTCTTTGAGGTAAACGAAACCCAAAAAGTTTCAGTTTCTTTCCAAATTTAGCCGATTGGTAGAAAGTTTTTACTCGAGTTTGGTTGTGTTCAATGTAGTGTTCAATGTAGTGCTCAATGAGTGTTCAATGTAGTGTTCAATGTCGTGTTCACCAAGACTAGCGTTCGACCCATCGCTGAATGCAGTGTTCTCCCTCTATGCGCTGGAGCCCATGTCTACT